TTTAGAGGTTTTAACTAGGATTAGAATTGGTTTTCAGGTTGGTGGTGAGTTAATGGAGGTTGAAGGGACGATTTTGAGTTGTTTTGGGGAGAAAAGGATGCAAAGGACGGCATTGGGCTCGTTTTGCTGGCGACCAAAGAATTGCCGGAGTAGCTATAGACCGCCAGCACGTTGTCTGCCTGCCTTTCTTATGTTTTCTATTTATTTATTTTTTATTTGGGCCAGACGCTCCTGGGCCAAGGGGTCTAGGCCCGATCACACGGGCCTAGCACGCCTAGCCCAGATGGGTTGCATTTTGTATTTAAATAAAAAACTGTTCAAATTTGTTTTTTATTTATTAAATTTAAGGATATGAATTTTCAAAATGTACATAAAATATTGCAATTACTGCTGAAATGAGACTTACTGATAATAATACTAGTATAAAAAAGTATTAATTTATAATTTATCAATATATTATGCATGATTTACGAATTTTTTTTTAAATGAGCATAACCCTAAAAAAAATATTTTTGAGCTATTCTTTTGTTTAGGCAACCTAACTCAAGAAACAACAAAACATCCTAATCTAATGAAATTTTGGGTGTGTAATTTTAGTTCATTTGAATTATAGTAAAAATTAATTCAATAGTTTAAATAGTTTTTATAAACAAACGCATCAACAATTCATGTAGATTTTTTAAAAAATATCCTTTGCTTTATAATAGTCGTGATTAATTTATTAAAGTCATTTTAATTGGTCCTTGCATGAAACGCAACTACTTGTACATACATCGATAATATATATACATGGTACCAAGAACAGTGGAAAGCCCATAATCATTGATAGGCCTTATCAAAAGAGATTCAACAATGGAGAGAGAAAAATCCGAGTTCCCATATCATATATAGCGGAAAAAGACGTGAAGGAGAAGAAATGACCCGTGTTACAGAATTGATGATGCATTAACATGGAAATTGAAAGAAAGACTCTACGTTTGGTACGTATTGTTTTATGATCGAAGGTGAAAGATTGACCGATTAAGGTCAAATATTGTTCTTGAGTAAATTGAATTCTCTGGTTTTGAGTTTTGACAAAAGGATTTGAATTTGCGACGGAAAAAAAAAAAAGTTTGTTCAAAAAGGCAATGATATATGGCAGTAGCGGAATGTGCCACGTACTGTCCGTTATAATATCAGATCCAAAAGCACCAAAACAGAGCTCTGTAAGGTATCCCATGTTTTTGGCTGGTATTTGTTAAATGGATTAATGATTTCGTACATATTTTTACTTTTTTTCTTTTCTTTAAAAGTGTGTTTTATTTATTTTTAAATATGAATCATCTACGTTGTATATATTTTCTAATTATATCATCTTTATGTCAGTTGATGTTATTAGCATTCTTAAAAAGCGACACGTATTAGTTTCTATATTATAAATTGTTATTAAATGAATATTTCTTTGGTCTCTAAAAAAATAATTTTGGTCCCTCTATTTAATCATACTTACACATAAGTCTTTAGCTAGAAAGTTTTTTGGGCATAGTAGTTTACAGTTAATACAATTTAGTCCTTGAATTTTTTTCGAGAAAAAGCAGTTTTTCTTTTATTTTTATTTGGATTTCTCATATTATCATGGATATATCATTTTGATATTATATCTCTATTATGAATTTGATTCCTTCTTTTCTTTTTTATTTTTCTATTTTTTTAAGTTATAATCATGGAAATAATTTCTTACAAAGAAAAAAATTGAAAGATTATTTTCATAATAGACATGATATTATATGAAATAAATTTTTATTTTTTAAATGGACATACCTAATTAGATCCATTTACCTTTCATCTTCTCGATCGATCTATTTAAATTATTTCACTAATTTTGATCAAATTTACGATTTGATACTGAGAGCTTTATTGTAAAATAGGATGACTAAAAAATTCCAATTAAGGATTTGTTGTAATAGAAAATAAAACATAAGGACCAATGTAAAAATTTTAAAATAGGAATCAAAATATCTATTAATGAAAATTTCATGTCGCAGGAATGTGTGATGAGAAGAAGTGATGGCGACAAGAATATGATGCACATTGTTGAATTAGGACAGAATAAATAAATAAATAAAGGAACCCTTTAAGCATAATAATAATAATAATAATAATAATAATAGAGGAATGTACAGAAACATTGACCTTTGATCATTAAAAAAAAAGCTAAAGTAGAATGATAATTCATTATTTACCATATACACTTATTTGCACTATTCATTAAGATAAATGTGGTATTTTTGTGATTTTCGAGTTTTTTTTTTGACATTCGTATGCGAGCTTAACGTTGTGTTCCATATTGATTACTCGTATTATTGATAGATATTTTTAGTCTCTAGACGACCAAGCACACATGCTTACTTTTTTTCCTCACTGATAAATTTTTATTATTGTTAAATTATATGGAAAAATTGTGAAAAACCAATCATTATTTATTTTGGTCCCTAAATGGACCAAGAACACATGCTTGCCTTTTTTCTTTTTTGGCTTTTACCTTTTTTTTTAACAATTTATTTTATTATTGAATTGGATATGAAAATTATGACAAACAATTGTTATTTTGTTCGGCTTTCTATACGGATCGATGATTATGAAATATATACATCATGTTTTTATACTTTAGAATGAATTTTTAATTGATTATTTATTGGAAAAAACCTTATCCGAAAATCTTTACATAGAAAAAAATAAATTATATATTTTAACAAATCAAATTATATAAAAAAGAATAAAAAATTAACTTGATGAGAGTTTTTATAAAAAACTATAAACCGAAAAGATCAATTTTAAACAATAAAAATCATATTTTTTTAATTAAAAAATTTATGAAAACACAAAGAAGAATAAATTAAATACTTTTTGTATTGAAAATTATAAAATTAGGAGAATTTTTTTTTGTTTTATTTTAAATTTTATATATTTTAATTGATTAATAATATAACATAGACTATCAGATAAAAAAGAAAAACCCATGGCGTAGCGTGAAAAACCTATTAGTTCCTTCTAAATGCACGAACATCCTGTAAAAATATTTTTTAAGTCAAAGATTTACAGCACTTTTTAATAAAATCACACAGCTAATTGAGTCAGTATCTTAAAATTTAATTAAAAACTTCATTGGTATATTTTAAATAATTTTTTTTATAGAAAAGTGCAATACATAATCAATATAATCATTTGAGTTGAAATTAAAATTTTAATTAAACCACCGATTTACTAAATTAATTTGATTTTTTGTTGTTGTGAATTTAAAGTGGTATATATTGACGTGTTATTGAGGTTTAAATATTCATTTGATATAAACAATTAGTTATGAATGTTATATAATCATTATTCGTAAGTTACATAATTATTCATTAAAATCAATATTTAATTGTGAACTTTTATATATATATATGGCAGTGGTTAGTTATCTGTGAAAGAAAAAGTCAGCCTAAAAAATTACCATTATAAATAATTTATTTGATTATTACAATAAACACGAGAGATTAACTTAATATAAGCCGTAATAATTAAACATGGAGAAATGTAGATTTCTTAAATATGTATTGCTTAGGTATTTATTTTTTGGTTTTTACAGATATTTTAATCTCACATTTGAAATAAAACTAATTATGTTCAGGTATAAATGATAAGGTTTAATTTTTTTTTAACGAATATGATTTTAAAATTCGAATTCTGATTCGTTTAAAAACAAACTCATTTTTATTAGACAAATAACTTATTGATGATATTGAATTATATTTTTAAAATTAATGTAAACAACCATGGAGTCTAAGCTAATAAAATATATTGTTGATAACGAATATAGAAACTTCATCTAATTTTACATATATTAAGTGCGACATTGTTCTGAATTGTTTAAATTTTAATTATAATTTGTAAAAAAAATATAAATTAAAAATTCGCACGAGTCGGTAAGTGTGTATAAAAAGAATTTTACTACTATCGTAAAATCACTGGTATATGGGAAAAAAAATCAACTTGAAGAATGAAACGAAAAAGATTTTCCTTGGTAAGAAAGCTCGACGGCATTAAAAGAAAAATGAAAAAAAAAAATTCTAATTGCAGAGACAAAAAATTTGATTCAGACGAGAGTTGCTTTGAGGGTAAGGGTAAATTTGTCATTAGAACGAAAATTAATAGCACAATTTTTGTCAAAGAAGAAGACTAATGAAGTGTTTAATAGAACTGAAAATTAAGTGTTGAACTAATAAGTATTGAATTTTAAATACTGAATATATTTATGATAAATTATTTAGTATTTACTGAATCTAATAAGTTTGTTTGATAAGTATTGTTGCAGAATATATTAAGGCTATATATATGATAATTTTAACCTTGTAATTGTAACAAGATATTTTTTAATACAAATAAAAATATATACATAGATATGTTTGTTTGTACAATAAAAATAAACAAATAAAAATAAATTCAATAAAAATAATTATTAATAAAAAATTAAACATGTTCTAAGATAATATTAATTGGGGTTTTAGATTTCGTGATGATAACACTGATAATGAAAAAGGTTTCTTCTGTTTTAACAATAAGGATATTAGATATTGTTTTTTAGTTGGTTTATATATCTAAAGTTACAAAAATATATAAATACAATAAAATCATATTTGAAAGATTTTAAAAATCTTTCAACTAAATATGATAATAAAAAGAAAATAGATTTTGACTGAAAATAAAATTTAATACAAGACTGTTTAGGTATCAAATAAATTTTTTATACTAAATACTGTAATTTAATTTTTTAAATTAATTAAATAGGTTATCAAATATCCTTTTACTGTCGGTTATTGTTCTGTCATTATGCTTTTTTAAAATATTTTTTAAAAGAGAAATAGGTAGCCTCTCCCTAGCTTTAGTCTGCGAGTAGGGTTTTATACGCACACAAAACCCTTGCCTCTATACCGTGTCTCTGTGCTGTGTTGTGTCTGATAAAATTTTACAGGTACAGCCTAATGGCGGGTGCTCGAGAACTTACAGCAGCAACGGAATTCTTGTGTGTAAGTTCTTTTTCTATGATCACTGCTTTTGTTTGTTGTTTGAAGAATAAAATATTCAGTTATATTTTTCTCATTCCTGTTCTTCTCTAGGATTCAATTTCTCGTTAATTCTGCCGAAATCTATTTTTGTGTTCTGTGTGTGGTTTATGATTTGTGCTCTTTTTGGAATTCTATTACAGGGAACCAATAGGCAAACTCTGTTTGTCCAGAGAGATTTGCTTATTAATCGACGAAATCAATTGCTGCGGGGGACGCTTCGTAATCATAAGCCTGTGTTTGCTGTGTCTAATAGAAGGGGTGTTTCATTGAGTTGTCGTTTGCAATCAAAGCCTAGAGCTTTGGTTTCTGGGGGTGTGACAAGTTCTGTTGATGAGCAAGCGAGTTTGATTGAAAAGCCTGTTCAAGAACTAATTCATTTTTATCGCATTCCATTGATTCAAGAGAGTGCAACTCTTGAATTACTTAAGTCTGTTCAAACGAAAGTTTCAAACAAGATCGTTGGTTTGCAAACTGAGCAGTGTTTTAATATCGGTATTCAGTCTGGGATTTCAAGCCAGAAGCTTGGGGTTCTTAGGTGGCTTCTACAAGAAACGTACGAGCCAGAGAATTTGGGGACTGCAAGCTTTCTTGAGAAGAAGATGAAGGAAGGAGTGAATGCTGTGATAGTTGAGGTTGGGCCTAGGTTGTCTTTCACTACAGCTTGGTCTGCGAATGCTGTATCAATTTGTCATGCTTGTGGGTTGACAGAGGTGACTAGATTGGAACGATCGAGGAGGTACCTGCTGTACAGTAAGGGTGTGTTGCAAGATTATCAAATCAATGAGTTTGCTGCAATGGTTCATGATCGAATGACTGAGTGTGTTTATACTCAGAAGCTTACATCTTTTGATACTAGTGTAGTTCCAGAGGAAGTTAGACATGTTCCTGTCATGGAGAGGGGGAAAAAGCGTTGGAAGAGATTAATCAGGAGATGGGGCTTGCTTTTGATGAGCAAGATTTACAGTATTATACTAGGCTGTTCAAGGACATCAAGCGGAATCCGACAACCGTGGAATTGTTTGACATTGCACAATCTAATAGTGAGCACAGCAGGCACTGGTTTTTCACTGGGAAGATTGTTATAGATGGACAGCCCATGAATAGAACTCTTATGCAGATCGTCAAAAGCACTTTGCAGGCGAATCCAAATAATTCTGTCATTGGTTTCAAGGACAACTCGAGTGCAATCAAAGGCTTCCCTGTGAAGCAATTGCGGCCAGTTCAGCCTGGTTCGACATGTCCCTTAAATGCAACTAACCGCGACCTTGATATTTTATTTACAGCTGAGACTCATAATTTCCCATGTGCAGTGGCTCCTTACCCTGGGGCAGAGACAGGTGCAGGGGGTCGAATCAGGGATACTCATGCAACAGGTAGGGGATCTTTTGTTGTTGCATCTACAGCTGGTTACTGTGTGGGGAATCTGAACATTGAGGGGTCGAATGCACCATGGGAAGACCATTCATTTGCATACCCTTCAAACTTAGCGTCACCGTTGCAGATTCTCATTGATGCTAGCAATGGCGCATCAGATTATGGAAACAAATTTGGGGAGCCCTTGATTCAGGGCTACACTAGAACTTTTGGGATGCGACTTCCCAGTGGGGATAGGCGGGAATGGTTGAAGCCAATTATGTTCAGTGGAGGCATTGGGCAAATTGATCACACCCACATAATGAAAGGGGAACCTGATATTGGCATGCTGGTTGTAAAGATTGGAGGTCCTGCTTATCGAATTGGAATGGGAGGTGGGGCTGCATCAAGCATGGTGAGTGGCCAGAATGATGCAGATCTTGACTTTAATGCTGTACAGCGTGGAGATGCTGAGATGTCACAGAAACTGTATCGTGTAGTTCGTTCCTGCATTGAGATGGGGGAGAACAATCCGATCATCAGTATCCATGATCAGGGAGCTGGTGGAAACTGTAATGTTGTTAAGGAAATTATATATCCAAAGGGTGCTCAAATTGACATCCGGGCAATTGTTGTTGGTGATCACACAATGTCTGTCTTGGAGATATGGGGTGCAGAGTATCAGGAGCAAGATGCAATTTTGGTGAAGGCTGAAAGCCGTGACCTCTTACAATCAATCTGCAAAAGGGAAAGGGTGTCGATGGCTGTTATTGGAACAATCAGTGGCGAGGGACGTGTTGTCTTGGTTGATAGTTCAGCTATTGAGAAATGTCGTTCAAATGGACTCCCTCCTCCTCCTCCTGCTGTGGATCTCGAGCTTGAGAAAGTTCTTGGGGACATGCCTCAAAAAAGCTTTGAGTTTCATCGGGTGGTTCCTGCACGAGAGCCGCTTGATATTGCTCCAGGGATCACAGTGATGGATGCTTTAAAGAGGGTATTAAGACTTCCATCTGTATGTTCGAAACGTTTCTTGACAACAAAAGTGGATAGGTGTGTCACAGGTCTTGTAGCACAACAACAAACTGTTGGTCCTTTGCAAATTACACTTGCTGATGTTGCTGTCATTGCTCAGACTTACACTGACTTGACTGGAGGTGCCTGTTCCATTGGGGAACAACCTATCAAAGGTCTGGTTAATCCAAAGGCAATGGCGAGATTGGCTGTTGGAGAAGCTCTCACAAATCTGGTTTGGGCAAAGGTAACTTCGCTTTCTGATGTTAAGGCAAGCGGGAATTGGATGTATGCTGCCAAGCTGGATGGGGAAGGAGCTGACATGTATGATGCTGCCACAGCTCTTTCAGAAGCTATGATTGAACTCGGCATTGCTATTGATGGGGGCAAGGACAGTCTCTCCATGGCAGCCCATGCAGGTGGTGAGGTTGTTAAGGCCCCCGGAAATCTTGTTATCAGTGCATATGTCACTTGCCCTGACATAACCAAAACAGTGACCCCTGATCTGAAGTTAGGAGATGAGGGGGTACTGGTTCACATTGATTTGGCCAAGGGAAAGAGGCGGTTGGGTGGATCTGCACTTGCTCAGGCTTTTGACCAAGTTGGTGATGACTGCCCAGACATTGATGATGTTTCTTACCTGAAAAAAGCTTTTGAGAGTGTACAGGATCTTCTTACAGACGATATAATCTCTTCTGGTCATGATATTAGCGATGGTGGGCTACTGGTCTGTGCCCTAGAGATGGCATTTGCTGGGAATTGTGGTATTCTTTTGGACTTGACTTCAAAAGGGAGAGCCTCTTTGAGACACTCTTTGCAGAAGAGCTTGGTCTTGTTTTCGAAGTTAGCAGAAAGAACTTGGACACTGTAATGCAAAAGCTCAACATTGCTGGGGTTTCTGGCGAGATCATTGGACAAGTGACTGCCTCACCCTTGATAGAATTGAAAGTTGATGGGGTAACTCACTTAAAGGAGGAAACTTCTTTCCTTAGAGACACATGGGAGGAAACCAGTTTCCAGCTGGAGAAGTTTCAAAGATTAGCTTCTTGTGTGGACTTAGAAAAGGAAGGTTTGAAGTCTAGGCATGAACCTACCTGGAGATTGTCCTTCACTCCTTCTTTTACAGATGAGAAATATTTGATTGCAGCTTTGAAACCAAAAGTAGCTGTTATTCGAGAGGAAGGTAGCAATGGAGATAGAGAGATGTCTGCAGCTTTTTATGCTGCTGGTTTTGAACCCTGGGACATTACAATGTCAGACCTCCTGAATGGAGTTATTTCTCTACACGATTTCCGTGGTATTGTGTTTGTGGGTGGCTTTAGCTATGCAGACGTACTTGATTCTGCAAAAGGTTGGTCTGCTTCCATACGATTTAACCAGCCTCTTTTGAATCAATTTCAAGAGTTTTACAAGCGGCCAGATACTTTTAGTCTTGGTGTTTGCAATGGGTGTCAGCTCATGGCTCTACTGGGTTGGGTCCCAGGCCCCCAAGTTGGGGGCGTGTTTGGTACTGGAGGGGACTCATCACAACCAAGGTTTGTTCACAATGAATCTGGTCGGTTTGAATGCCGCTTTACAAGTGTGACAATAGAGGACTCGCCTGCTATCATGTTCAAAGGAATGGAGGGTAGCACATTGGGTGTATGGGCTGCTCATGGTGAGGGAAGAGCGTATTTCCCTGATGATGGTGTACTTGATCGTTTGATTCATTCAAACTTGGCCCCTGTAAGATATTGTGATGATGATGGGAATCCAACAGAAGTTTACCCTTTCAATGTCAATGGCTCTCCTTTAGGAATTGCAGCAATTTGTTCTCCTGATGGGAGGCATCTTGCAATGATGCCTCATCCCGAGCGTTGCTTCTTGATGTGGCAGTTTCCTTGGTACCCGACACAGTGGAATGTGGACAAGAAAGGTCCTAGCCCATGGTTAAAGATGTTCCAGAATGCCAGAGAATGGTGCTCTTGAGACAGGTTAGTGTCTTTCACAAACGTTCTTGTCATCGTTTTGCTTTAATTGCTTACTGATAATCTATTTTTCTGTTTCATAACTGTAGTTTATATGATGAATGGAGAGGATGAGTGCCATGAAGAACCAAGGTCAACTTCTTACAACGACCATTCCATTGATTATGCTGACGCGCAAATGAAGAGGTTCCTATTTGACCAGCATGGAATGAACTATTTTGGTTATGCAGTCCATGAATCATTTTTATTGAAAGCCAAGTCGTTAATCTAAAGAATTATCAATTGGTGTAGTCAGGGGAACATGGGATATTGAACTGAATGAATTTTACGTTCAGTGAATCAGTCAATTGAGGATAACCTCTAGTTAATTACTGTGTTGAAGAATTATGTGGTTTTCCATGTTACAGGAAAACATCATTTGCGTTGCAACGCATTGGCCCCGTGTAATTGTGGTACTTATTTAATGTTGTCTTCACAAAGGATAGCTGTGTTTCAGTAATCAAGTGTACAGTAGCACACAGTAATGAAATGGTGGCTATTGTCCATATTTGAAGCCTATAAACTTGACGAGCCAATCAAGTTAGGTTTTCTGTTGTGTATTTGCTTATACTTTGCTGTTTACTCCAACCCACTCGCACACACAAATAATAATAATAATAATACTGATAAAATAAATAAACACTTTACTGAGTGAGGTATCGGCTGAAGCCTTAAGGCCATCCAGTTTCCCCACAGAGAAGATTTGATATATTTTGAGCTGCATGCCTATCTTCGTTTTAAAATTGGCCGTATTTTTCTCAAAACTGGTGTGCTTCAATTAAATTGCACTTAGTGTTAAATACTTGTCAAACCATCTTAATATATCCGAATTAGTATCACTTTTGGGAGGCTTAGTTGTTGTATCAGTATCACTTTTGCACATCATTGCGGTGAAGATTTATGTGCCAATACATTTTACCTAAGCTGTATTTAGCCTGTTGAAAATTTCACCATGTAGCCCTGAATCTGTCTATCTGTCCATCGGTACTTGTGCATCTATATTATATGCTTTAGTTACTTTATCTGGTTATGCAATAGTTTCATCATCCAATCCCTTACGAGTGTAATTAATCTGAAAGAAACAGTACCGATGCGTGGGAATTTGTTTTGGTATACAAAGATGCTCCGCTGAGTGATGAAAGTAGGATACAACTATGCTTTTATTATTATAATCATAGTTGTAGTAAAATTAAATGGGAGTTGGAAATTTGTTGCCAGATGGAACCAGAAAAGTTCTTATGTTCTTCAAGCTCACATTTGTTAAGGAAGCCTTATTTAATCCTAGCTTGGACCTCTTGTGATCTTGCTGTCATTGACAAATCATGGGCAATCTGCAGAGTCCTCTTCGTTTGTTCCTTCTACAAATCTCTAGAATAATTTGGGTTCAGACCTGCTAAAGAGTGGACTTACGAAATCTCTCAGTGTAAAATGCACTGGTTTCGTGTTGGTTGCGGCCTGAATGCTGGAGTGGAAGATTCTCCAAAACCTGTGCTTTTTAGAAAATCTAAATTTGCAGCTTATGCTCTGTGGGATGCCGCTTGAGGCTCCATGCCTCTCTGCGCAAGGGATTCCAGCCACTTCTAGATCTGAATGAAGGCAATCATCCTTGCAGAAAGTGGATTGAAAAATTTTCTTCTTTAAGCTTAGGTATGTTGTCATTCTAGCATGGACTTTTCTCCTGTTATTATGGTCAATTTCCTTTTACAGCATTAGTTTGTGTAATTCCGACATTGAAGTTATTATATTCTTAAGAGTTTTATCATCTATATGTATGTATAAATAAGTACTAAATGGTTAGAATCTTTTTTATATAGAGTTATTAATCTTGTGATTTGTTAATGAGATATTGAGGTAATGTTTAATGGTATCATAGCTTGATCTGCATTTGTATAATTGCATATGCGGATGAGCTCAATAATTTTGTGGAACAGCATGGTTGTGGCTAATTATTGCATTCTAATGGAAGGGCCGTGAAAAGGGTATTCCCAACATAAGAAGGTAGATAAACTGGTCCCAGAGAGCAAACTGTAGCTGTTGTGAAGAGTTAGAAACTACTGTAGTTGCGTCTGTTCAATCTTATGACTTGGAAAGGCACTGCATTTATGAAGCCTACTTTGTCTAGATGGTATTTTTATGTGTTTGGTGACTTGATGCAAGGTTGTGGACCTTTTTTCTTGGATTGAGCACACCATTTTATATTCCTCGCATATTCATGTTTGGTTCGTTTTAAGATTTCTTCTAGTAGCTCTGTTTTCATCACACCAAAAGATACATGCTAGTTACCATGAGACCTGAGACCTGATTGCAAACTGCCTAATCAGTCTGGTTTGGATTTCCCATGCAGCATATTGCAGTCTATACGTGTACCCCCATTTTTGTCCTGTTTTGGTTGCTACCTGAATCTGTCCTTGATCTTGGATCACCATCTTGTACTAGCTACTAGAGATATTTGTTTTTATCTGAGTTAGTGTTCTGACTTCTGGGATAAAATTAGATGGTTCTATGAAATTAATTTTGAAGCTCCTTATGTTTGTGGCATTAAAAAAGTTATCTATCCATTGAATAATTCAAATCACTTAAATATTTCTATGATTCATGGCTGGTGGTGTTGCCAACTGCAAGGGATATCGTCTTTGCTAGAGTCGAGTGAAATTTTCTGGACGTGTCTTATCTATTTGATTGCTTGCAGGTGTGAGGTTAGATGTTTTTAGAAGACAGGAATTGCTTACTTGGCAGCTCACACCCTGACCTTGAAATCATTGTTATCTACATAACAGAGATTACAAAGATGCAAACACAAAATTTTCCTTATTGATCCATGAAACATCTGTTGCACAATCCTGACTTGCCACGTGCGTTTTCCTCAGACTTTTGGATCTTCTCATATTATGATGTTTCCACTGTCCGTCCACGAACAATATGTGAAGATCTCCTTGTCCGCTTCTTCGAGGAGTCTTTCTAAAGGACGTGGCTGAGAGTTGCAAAAAATGTTTTGGTCTTCCCATCCATAAAAAGGAGGAGGCGGTACATTCATTTGGCTGTCTAAAGTTTGGTTCCCAGTTGTATATCCTGGATTGCTTAGTTGTGCAGATTGTGGATTCTGATAGTATTGCGTGTCCATGGCATCTTGTTGGAAGGCAAACAGCATCTCACAATTCGGGTTTGAAATTGTTTGCGAACTTCCACAACTGGCGACACTAACTGGGAGACTGGCCATCTGGTTCCCAAGAATTTCTATCTCCTCTTGTAAGCTGGCAATCTGCAAGACAAGGTAAACAATATAAGAAACTCATGTTCTTAGCTAGAACTTGTTTATATTCTAGGTGATCTGTGCAAATATTCAGGCGCTTTGAGAAACACCGCAGACACCTGTTGTTGGAGTGCAAAGATATGAGCAACACAGCCATATATAGGATCTCGCATCCTAGCCAATGCTTCATAAGATATGGTGATAGCAGCATCACCTCGATTGTGTACTGGTAGGTGCAACAATAGCTTTGAGACATTGCTTGCGCCAAACACTCTGTGTACTGCTGCAAAGTGGGCTGCAGCCTGGTCATAACAGAAGTACGGTGCAAACACGCATTCGCTTGTGCACTTTCTTCTCAGGAATTTGCATGCTCCGCATGAAGAGCCCAGCCCTGTCATTGTCCTATGCTTTTTACTTCTGTTTCAGGGTGATTTTATTTGTACGAAAGCTGGTTTGTGTGGGAATTAGTGTTGCGATTTGCTCTTTATAATCATCACCTGCAAGGGTTATAAGCCCTTTTTGTTGTGGCTATGAGACATTCTCCCTCTTCCGAAAAGTGAGTTTCTTTTGGGTCTCCTTTATGGGCTACAATTTCATTATCAAATTGGGTAAGGTTTTCCTAATTCGTGCCTTAAAAGGGCTTTATTCATTAATAATCTTCATAAATAAACTGATGGATAATCTAATCATCATTATCATTAGTTGAGCTCTAAAAATGAGATATAATTGCTTCAAATAGTAATATATCCTAAAAAAAAATGTCATCACTCAGGCAAGTACAATAGTCATTTCTCCGTTTAGTTGGCATTAAGAAAAGTTCTTTGTTAAAGAGAATGATTATAAGAAAATGTAGAAAAAGGGTCCTTGAGCTTTTGAAACTCGGACTATGGGCATTTACATAAATTTTAATAAACGGGATCCACAAAGCTGGCTGCCCTTTTGTATAACTTTGCTACATCTTTTGCAGTAGGCTTCTAGATTGTATTTCTGTAATGATATTCTGTTATTTCGTATTTGTGGAGATGCATTTCAACAGAGCCTTAATTATAAAAGTTGAATAAAAAATATGCAGTCCGACAATGCTGACCTTATTTGTGATGTGATGCAATCTTAGTGTATTTCTTGATTGCTCTATGAAGTTTTATGAAACCTGTGAGTCTTAGGTTTATCATGAGATCGACCGATAAGGTAGCTTATAAAATATTAATAAGAGAAGTTGCTATATGATGATATCATCGGGCTTCCTTAAGTTAGCAGTTGCCCAATCCTACTGAGTTAGAAAATAATTGGGCTTGGTTATATATATGTTTCTCTCATCAGAGTTCATTTCAGGAATTTATTTATTTATTTTTGAGATTCAAGTTTATGCTTATGATCAACTTATTCTGACTTTTTTTCCGCTCTGGATTCAGATCCAACTATGTATAATTGGCACAACGTCAAATCCAACACGTTGGATGTTTGTAGAAATAATGATACATTGATAGTCAATATTTTATTCCTTCAATCAAAATCAAGCTGTAGGAGTTGGTGCATTACGGCTTTAAATATGCTCTTCAGCTGAAGGGAACAAATTTATATTGTTTTATATGCAGAATTGCATTGGACATACGGTGCATGACTCATGACAGCTTTTTGTCTGGTTTGCAGTAATTCCCTTAATTATGTAGTTTTTTAATCTAGTTAATGTGGTTATTATCCATGATTAAGCATATTTTATTGTTACACTTAATCAGGTTGGGCTGTTGGCCACTTTACAATGTAGGCGGTTGAAGACTTCAAACAGCATTCATCCACCTCTGTCAAAGCCAAGAGCGTAACTCACATGCCTATCAGCAACAGTTGCAACTACTAAGTGCTTACCTTTTCTTATCTCTTCTTATGCTTCAAGGCTCTAGAAATAAAGCACACATGGGCAAATGAGAGAGAGAAATGGGGAGACAAAACGCTATTTTCAGTGACATAAATTCCTACTTTTTGTCTTTTCAAAACTGTTTAAATTTTTGTTTTGAATGAAATTATGACAAGCAGGTGTTTATGGGATGGTGGAGGGGGGCTTTTCAGCTTTCGAGTTTAACGATGAAAGTGTCTTTCTCTATCATGGAATAATGATCATTTTATCCATCTTCATGTGCTAAAGCTTGCTTGCCTCTTATCCTTGAACCTACATTTGCATGTTCATGAACCTATTGCAGAAGTTGAAGACCCGGTATTAAATTTTAGATTTATAGGTTTTAGGTGGAGTTGCATTTCCTTTTCAGTTATTTTCTAGGCAATTTGAGCTGTCATCAACTCCAGCCATCGCAGTTTTTGATAATAATACAAGGACATCAACATCTTAGTACACTAGGCAACCACATTCTGAACCTAATGAATTTACAGTTCCATATAATTGCTTGCTTGTCCTGGGGTTTCAAGTCAGAATTTGCTTAAGTTTTCTCTGCAGGGTGTGGTTAGTTGATGTACCATGAATTGTTGGGAATTTAATCCCACTTAAAGGTAAATTATGTTTCGTGAGAAAATAATCAAGCTAAACACATACAAAAATCAAGAATAAAAAATAAATCAATCACAAAAACACAGTTATAAAAACACTAAATTTATGTGAAAAATCATATCTATCATAGAGTAAAAACAAAATGACGATCTTTGAAATAATCTAGTATAAACAAGAAAACAATACAATCACTCAAGTTTTTCTATGAACTTAAAAAACAAAAGTATTAATAGTAACACAAGTTATTTTTTTAGTTAAATTCGTCTTACCATGAAAGTTCGAAATCTGTAAAATTTTATTGTTTTACAAAGCCTATTATTGTGTGAGATTATCATCTTGAACACCGCAATTCTTTGTAATTGTAGTATGAAAAAAAATCAATGCTAGAGAAAGTTTTAATGTTTTGTGCATAAAAAATCTTTCGCTTTCTATCCATAAAATTTGTGAAAAGAAAAAGAAAAAAAATTCTTATTTTTGTTTCTTCTCTCTTCAATTGTTCTCTTTGGCAATTATGCACAAAAGGAAGACAACACAAAAAAAAGAAAAACAATTTTTTTTTCTTTTTAGTTTCACAATAGTATTTTTCCTATTTAACTTTAATTATTTTCCTAATTAATTTCTTTTCTAGTTAATTTCTTTTTTTCTAACAAATCCTTATTGGATTATATTAAGGCCACTCATGGCTTGACTTTAAACATATACCCAACAAATCTCTCCTTCCAATCCATGAGAAAAAATTGCAACTCATCATCTAGAATTAATGTTAGCTACTTTGACACACAATCCATTCTTTTCATGCACTATCAATTTTGTCGAAATATCAGCAAGATTTTATCTTGAAGAATTATTCTTAGCATCATTAGCTTTATTTTTCATTACCTTACAAAGCCAATGACATCAATAATAATTAAACTTTTGATTTCTAACCCTTATCGTAAGATCATAAGTTAGAATATTATGAAAATTATTTAGCTTCTTCTTGTCCATTAACAAGACATTATTAGAATTGAAATTCTTGGTAAAAGAATGATACCAACTAATAGACCTACTCATTTGATGCTCTACATTCTAAAGTGGAAGTTCCTACTCTTCCTACTCAATGCTTCCTTTCTCCATATCATTATCATTTTCAACAATTGGCTTAATATCAACTCTGTATTCTTTATTCAATACTCTTATGTAAGTGGCAATTTCTTTAACAAAAGTAACACAAGACTTCTTTGTCAATTTTTTTTCATTTATTTGAACTTGTTGTCTAGATCATAATTTTGAAGAAATTCTATGTCTAATCGCACTATTCTTAAGTATGATCAACTATATTTTTGTCATGTATAGTTCATCACAAAAATTACATATAGCAACAACCATTGAACCCCACGTGAGTTTTCATCTTCCATCACCAAAATAATTTTGTAGTATCCCACAATGTCTAATTCACGAGTAAAAATCGATTCAAGCGTAAATTTAGTACATGCAACACATTCTTCAAAGTTAATGTATAATCTATACATGTCTTTATACATATATCACTAACTCATAAAACATTAGTATAATCATTATTGCCCATCTTTGTTATGCTAAAGTCTCCTACTTTGTAAATAGTAAAAAAAAAAAAAAAAGAGTATGATATATAGCTTTTAAGTCAACAACCAATTCAATGCAATGATCTATAATAATATATTTATTCTCTTTGTATAAGAGTATCATCACATCTCAATTTGAAGTTCATATTGTAGTGATGTTCTTATTATCTTCTTTCTAATTCTTTAATTCTTCTTACTTTTTTTTTCATGCCTTGTAATTTTTTTTTCATTGACCTTCTCTTTCACGGTTATAATATGTAAAGTTGCCATTAGTTTTTGATTTGTCTCCGAATTTTTTGTACCCACTAAATTCTTAATTCATACTCCTTTTTTTTTTCTTTTTTTTTTTTTCTATGTGCAAGTGTTTGTGCTTCATCTGCTACCACTTCACTTCGCCTTATTTCTTTGAACAAACTATCTTTAATCATGCACAATAATAGAACACTATTAAAAGTAGAATCATCAAGTGTGACAATCAAAGTCTCTTAATTATCTAATAAAGTCACTAATAGCAATAATGCTTATAACTTATCATCTAAAACTATTTTTATAGTCATCAATTGATTAATCAAATCCCGAAAGTCATTCAAGTGTCCAACAATAGACTTTTCATCTTACTATTTCAAATTCACAAGCTTCTTAATTAAAAAAAAAAAAAAATCATTTTGTAAATCTTTCTTTCATGCATACTCTCTATTGTTTTTTTTTTTCTATACTTCTTAGATATATGCTTCTTTGAATACATGGTAAACAATCTATTGTTCATCCACTGTCTAATAGATTCAATAACTTTTTTATGTTCTTTTTTCAAGCATCATCAATCTTGGCGGTTGGCTTGAGTTTAACTAATTCAATCGGATCAAACAAATCATGGTAATAAAATAAATAATCCATCCTCGGTTATCAAATTGCATAATTCGAAACTATCAATTTGATCATAGTTTTTGAATTATATTTCTCTATTTAATTTATATAAATATTTCAATCAAAGCTACGGTACTTCTATTGTAAATTTAATTTCACTTCGTGTAAATTATGTTTTGTAAGAAAATAATCAAGCCAAACACATACAAAAATCAAGACCAAAAAATAAATTAATTACAAGAGAACAATCACAAAAACACTAAATTTACGTAGAAAATTCTCTTTATTGTAGAAGAAAAACCACTAGACTAACTGCGAAATAATCCATTATAGTTAAAAAAGCAATACAATTACTCAAATTTCTCTATAAACTTGAAAAATAAAAATATTGGTAGTAATACAAGTTTCTCTATAGCTAAATTTGTCTCACTACGAAAGTTTAGAATTTGTAAAA